CTATCTATATATATATATATATATATATATATATATATATATATATATATATATATATATATATATATATATATACATGTATATATATATATATATATATATATATATATATACATGTATATATATATATATATATATATATATATATATATATATATATATATATATAATATATACATATATACATTTATACATATATATATATATACATGTATATATATATATACATATATACATATATACATATATATATATATATATATATATATATATTATATATATATATATACATATATATATATATATATATATATATACTATATATATATATATATATATATATATATATATATATATATATATATATATATATATATATATATATATATATATATATATATATATATATATATATATATATATATATATATATATATATATATATATATATATACATATAACATAAATAATTACTAAACTAGCCAAATAAAATTCAACTTGTTTGTACCCCTCTTACCACCCACTTACGGAAATCAGAAAAACAGAAATGAGGTACCAAAACTGCTCACTTTTATAGACTATCTGCTCAATAATATTTTTCAATGAAATTTGGTAGGTAGATAAAAAATATATGTAAAAAACTATCTGGGTAGGTTTGCAAACTATCTGAGCATTTCTTTGACAATAATTTAATGTGAGAACAACAACCAAGTTTTTAATACAAATAAAAGCAATACAAAAATTACCAACCACATATAAATATTATATATTAATCAAGTTTAACTATTCTTTTTTTCAAAAATAATCTAAGTTTAGTAATGTTTCTAAACAGAAACGCCACAAAAAAACGTTCGCCTGACGTTACCTAAAAAAAAGTACAAAAAACCTAGCACAAAATTTTAGTACAAAATTCAGTTCCGTAAAACACAGATTTCCGCGTACCTACATTGTCTGAATATAATTTAGTGACTTTAATAATCCCTCTACATAAGTCATTAATGCAGATTACAAATAAAAGAGGTCAGAGTACTGAACCTTACGGTTTGCAGTACTCCACTAGTGGAGTACTGCAAGTACTCTACTAGTGGAGTACTGCAAGTACTCCACTAGTGGAGTACTGCAAGTACTCCAATGGTACTCCAACGGTACTCCAATGGTGGAGTACCTTGCAGTACTCCACCATTTTCCAACTTGAAGTATATTCTCCTATCACCTCCCTCTGAGTTTGATCTGACAAAAATGATTTGCACCAATTTAACAAAGATGATCCAAATCCTAGTCTAAATATTTTTTTCAGTGATTTCCTGTGAGAGACTGAATCAAATGCTTTTTTGAAATCCAAAAACAAAACATCAACTGAAATGTCCTCTTCATACGCTCGCATAAATAAATCCAACGTTCCCAACATGTTCACCACACAACTTTTGTCAATAAGAAAACCATGTTGCTCTTCAGAAAGTAAATTGTTTTCAATGAAAGACACCATCATACGATCTTTAATAATTCGCTCCATAATTTTACTAACAATTGATGTTAATAAAACCGATCTATAATTTGTTGGATCTAGTTTATTACCCTTTTTAAATAACGGAACAACGTTTGCACATGACTATAACTTTGGAATAGTTGCTATACTAAAAGATTTATGAAATGTTAATGCTAAACAACTTGACAAAGATTCTGAACATTTCTTTAAAATTTTTGGGTGAACATTATCTGGACCTACAGATTTGTTGATGTTTAAATTACTCAAATGTTCTGAATAATAGAAATACTAAAATATGGATCAGGACATTTTTTTAAAAGATTGTTGCCTAAATTGTGAATAGTTTTCTTGACAAGTTTTTTTATATCTTTATTTAATTTTTATATTCTAAAAGGCTTTTAAAACCTGATTTCTGTTTCTAAACAAACTTTTTTTTGTTTTTCTTTACACATACTTTTAAGTTCACTTGTCATCTACAGTGAGATGTTTTTGTGTTGAAAATTTTTTTTTCTAAATTTAGTGTTGAAATATATTTTTCACACCTTTTTTTATATTTTCTCAGCCATTTTTCGTAACATTTATTAACACCAAGTTCTTCAAATTCTTGTGCCCAGTTGATGTTTTAAAAATACAAATCTAATGCTTTATAGTTTCTTTATTTTTCTTAAATTTTTCTTATTGTTTGTTGTGTTTTTCATAAATTAGACCTATTTTCATATCCAAATCTAAATTTCAAAATACAATGACCATGATTGATGCAACCTAACAGTGGAAAATAATCCAAAATATAAACTCTGTTGCTATTATCAGTTAAAATGAGATCTAAAATGCTAGTATCTATACCAAACTTTACTTGAAAACTAGGACAGATAAATTTTGGTGCAGGTAACAGTCATGTAACAATTCAGTAAACATACTTGCTGTTGTAATTTCACTAAAGCTTTTGTCGTTCCACTTAATTTTTGCATAGTTAAAATCACCCCATATTAAAACACCAGAGCATTTATTTTTTTTGAGTACATATGCCTGCTTTAACGATTTTATAATGTCAACACACTTTTCATTTTTACTAAGACTTGTCTAGTAAATACAACCACACAAGATTTCTCTTCGCCAATTTCAATCAAGTACGGTTTACTTTTGATTAAAATTTTAAATATTTTGTTTATTTTTTATTATTTTCATATTTGTTTAAATATAAAGAAACTATAAAGTTATTCAAAATATAAGTTTTTACATTTTGAATTTTACTTATTTTTCCATTAAATAAGAAAATTTTATTAATTTAAAAGTTTAAAAAATTTATTTTGTGAATTTAATGCAAATTGTTTGAATACGAAAAAGAAAAAGTTCTTCATCACTTAATTATTTTGTACAAGTACAAAGTTTTTTTTCAGCATCAATTTTCACTTGTTCATGGCCTTATCATTGATTGTTATTTAGCATAAGTTAGGACAGTCATATTTCTAGCCATCTGTATCTCTTTTGCTGTTAGTCATTTAAACTTATTTTTAATGGTTGATAAACTTCAATCAAACTTTCTAGAATTAATAATTTACTCTAAACCCAATTTCGATCCCTACCATGTCCCTGGTAGTTCCAAGTTCGATTCCCGCCATGTCCCTGGTAGTTCCAAGTTCGATTCCCACCACATCCCTGGAAGTACTGCGTAACTTGTTTCTCTGCGCTGCAGCCTTGTTTGTTGAGGTTCGTGTTTTAGAGTTGTAGAGTTAAGAGAGAGATGTAACCACAACTAAAGTAGCCTTCTTGACTATAGTGGTTTTCTCAGCCTTGGGGAGGTGAATAATTAAAAAAAACAAAAAAATAAAAATAAAAAACATAGACAAGTTTGCATTTATTCTTACCTTTTTTGCGGTATAGCATAATACAGGCTATACTCAACAGTTAGACTTCATTATTTTATGTTCAGTCAAATACACATAAAACTGCATAATCAAAAACTACAAAGCCTATAGTTTGATTGAAGAATGCAATTACATTTGGATTCATAAGCAACTTACCCCTTCTGTTGCACTGCCTTTGGTAATAGTAAATAGTAATATGCATACATATCAAACTCTCTCTACTCTCCAAACTTTCTTGTTTTTCAACTTTTATTATGCAGGTTAAATTATTTGTGGTATTTTTAGTATGCAGTAAATTTATTTGTTTGGTATTGCAATAAATTATTCAGTCTATGTAATTTCTGAGATGATAAAATGATGATCAACAACATAATGAACAAATATTTATAAAAATCTTACTTTGTGGTGATCCCTCTACTTTCATGGCATGTATTTTATTGATACTATAAAATAAAAAAGGGGCAGGCTTAATAGGAATAAAGTTTAAAAAGCATGTTTGACACAGTCACTAACTAGATTTTTTAAAAGGTTGTATTTTTGTAATTAATACAATTTCAAAAATCATTTCTTATGTGACTGTATATCAGGTACTTTATTTACTTTTATACTTTTTATTATGATTGCATAAAGTATTTTTGTAATGGTAATGTTATTAATATTATTTATGCAATTAAATCTTCTAGAAGCTGGGAATCTGGCTAGATTCAGCTGGAGCTTGTAGCAGGGATGCTACCAACTCCAGCTGAATCTAGTCAGAAATCAAATCAGAAGTCTCAAATAAGACTTCTGATTCGAAAGTCACAAAATAATTATTTTAAAGCTCCAAAGACCAGAAAAAGACCAAAAAAATAAAGACTTTAGCCCAGAGTCCATTTTGGACTCCGGGTTAAAACCTTTATCCCTTGTATGTAGATTGACAAGCGATTAAAGAATTTTTTAATAGTTTTTTTATTTTAATTGATTAACCAATTTTGAAGCAAAAAAGTCTGCTAAACAGTTTCAAAGAAGTTTGTGTCTAGCTAAATCTCTTTGTTGAATGTGTTTTTAAATCTACCCAGACCACGAACAGAACCATTAATATATTGACAGTAGGTTTTTGTTACTTAACTATGCTAAAGTTATTTGAGTTCTTAAAATATTTCAAATAGTTGTCTTTTTAAATTAGTAACTTGTGAACCTAAAATTTTATTATGTATATTCAGATGTCTTAGATTTTAACTAGTGTGTTTTTATGCTTCAAGCCAGATTCACCATCAAAAGAACCAAACCTAATAAAGCTTTTTTCATACATAAAACTGTCTTCACTATTACTTAATTTAAATTTGAAAAGCCAAAAGTTTGAGAGATCTCTTTACAGAGTCACATACCTGACTAACTGTACTAACTGAATTGTAAAGTTGTTTTTAGCTGTGTTAATATTTTAAAACAGTTTTGTTTCATATTTTAATGGTTTTGTTTCACTGATTTAAAGCAAAGATTTCAATTTTTATATTAGTTAAATTTAAAAAATGTATAATATTTAATATATATTAATTATTTTATAATAATATTTGTTTTAAAGTGATTTTCATTTTTACTATGATGCTGTTTTGGTTAATAACTTCAATTTAAGTAAACAATATTATGCTCTTTAATTTTCCTTTTACTAGAAATGAACTCATTCAAACTCAACTGAAAGGAAAGATTTCATTACCAAAAGCTAAAAAAACAGGTACCACTATTGTTGGATTAGTATATAAGGATGGAGTGGTTTTAGGTGCTGATACCAGAGCTACTGAGGTAATTTGTTTTATAGTTGGTACTAACAACTTTATTTTATAAATTTTTGTTGAAAATTTTAAATTAAACTGAACTTAGAATGTTTATCTCTGTGTGTTCAAGGTACATATATAATATAAAATATCACAATTACTTTTATTTTTAAAATATAAATTTATTTTTAGGGTAACACTGTTGCTGATAAAAATTGTGCCAAGATTCATTATATAGCACCTAATATATAGTAAATTTGATTTTTTTAGATATATTTTTTTTCTATAAAATAACTGTTTAATATTACAAAAAAAAAAAACTGTTTGGATTTTAACTTGTAAAATCCAATTTTGAAAGTGCCAATCTAAACGTAAGCCTATATATATGCATATATGCAGGGTTTCATAACAACTATATGCATACTATATGTGTATATATATATATATATGTATATAAACAATTTAAAATGTATTCTACAAAAAGAGTGCTTAATGTTCTTAAAAGAACAGAGCAATTACACATTAGTAGAAAATCACTTAGCAAAATTTTTTGTTACAAACACTGTGTTTCATCAATAAAGACTCATCAGAAATCATCAGATTTCTGATGAGTCTTTATTGATGAAACACAGTGTTAAATGAGAAAAAATTTTGCTAAGTGATTTTCTACTAATTTATATAAATAAATATATATAATATACATGTGTATATATATATATATATATATATATATATATATATATATATATATATATATATATATATATATATATATATATATAATATATATATATATATATATATATATATATATATATATATATATATATATATATATATATATATATATATATATATATATATATATATATATATATATATATATATATATATATATATATATATATATATATATATATATATATAAATATGGGTTTAAAGAGCATATCAATTGAAATAAAGCGGCAAGTTGTTGGCCTGCACAAAAGTGGTCTTATAATCAAGAAATCTGACGTCAACTTTAAATCAGTGAATGCAGCATTAGTACAACGCTCAAAAACTATAATGAATTTGGAACAGTCAAAGACAAAAGTCGCTCTGGTTGTCCTAAAAAAATGTCAGAAAGGGATGAAAATAAAGCAAATATGCTCGCTAGACGCAACCGGAACATGAGCATAACCGAAATTGCCTCAGACCTAAATACAGTAATGGGTGTACATCAAGTTTGCCGATCAACAATTAGCAAGCTGATGAAAAAAAATATCTCAATTCATACTTTGCAACAAAGAAGTCACTACTAAGTATCAAAGACCATCTCCAGCAAAGAAATTGGTGCAAAGAGGGAGCTGCATGGACTATAGAGCAATGGAGAAAAGTAATTTTCTTGGACAAGTCAAAATTTGAACTTATCAATCGCAAGAAAAGGGTTGTCGTGAGGAGATACAAAAACGAAAAATATAATCCTCGTTTTATCACGTCAAGAGTTCAAGGAGCAGGAGGTTCAATTAGCATTTGATGCTGCATTGCTGGATCTAGCAATGGCCTGGCACATCTTTGCACTGATCGCCTTAATCAACATCGATATAGAGAGATATAAGAAGATTGTTTAAAGCCATCAATGGATGTTTTCTGACTCCACTTGGCAATTTCAACAAGATAACGCTTCTTGCCACACAGTACACTCAATTAAGCAATACGTGGAGGAAAAACAGTTGAATCTAATACCTTGGCCTGCTTGCTCACTTGATTTAAATCTTATTGGGAATCTTTGGAGTTGGATGGACTGCAAATTACAAAAAAGCAAGCCAACTAACTTGGTGCTGCTCAAAACACAATTGCAAGAGTTATGGTATACCGTGCCGCAAGAATTAATATAATAACTTATAGATTCTATGTCGCATAGAGTCTTGGCTTGCCTTAAGGCGGTCACATAAAATATTAAACTTTTTTAGAATCTTTTAAAAAATGTAAGTGCACTAATATTTTTGCATATTTTTTTAATATTGTTTTATCACTCTCATTGTATTATATATGTAGATAATAATAATAAAGAAATACTTTTATATATTTGACAATTAGTAATTCTGCTTTATTTTATAAATTACTCAAAAAAAAAAAAATCAATCAGCTTTTATTGTTTTCGAATTACACTCATTTGAAGTTCACTAAGGTAAAAAAAATATGAGTGCACTAATACTTTCTACAAGCACTATATATATATATATATATATATATATATATATATATATATATATATATATATATATATATATATATATATATATATATATATATATATATATATTAAACAATTTAAAATGTATTCTACAAAAAGAGTGCTCAATGTTTTTAAAAGAACAGAGCAATTACAAATTAGTAGAAAATCACTTTGATTTTCTACTAATTTATATATATATATATATATATATATATATATATATATATATATATATATATATATATATTATATATATATATATATATATATATATATATATATATATATATATATATATATATATATATATATATGTATATATATATATATATATATATATATGTATATATATATATATATATATATATATCAGGGTTCCCGCACCTCCTTAAAAACCTTAAATATCCATAAAATAAAAACCTCCTTAAATGTCCTTTAAAAAAGTTAAAATTTGACTGCTCTCCCTTATTATTATTATTATTATTATTATTATTATTATTATTATTATTATTATTATTATTATTATTATTTTTTTAATTATCTAGAAAAATTTTTTAAAGTGAATGGATTGTACTTATTAATAAAGAAGATAATATATAGATTTTTGATAATTTTCAAACCTATTTTTGTTATTATATATATATAAATATATATATATATATATTTTTTTTTTCTCTGTTTATATTTTAAATTTATTGAAAAAATAAGATTATGTTTTTAATGTAATCGTTTTCTCCTTAATTATCCTATATATCCTTAATGTGTGTATATATATATATATATATATATATATATATATATATATATATATATATATATATATATATATATATATATATATATATATATATATATATATATATATATAACCCTCAAAATTAGTCGACAAATATATATATATATATATATATATATATATATATGTATATATATATATATATATATATATATATATATACATATATACATACATACTATTATAAATCAATAAAGACTCAAATTAGTAGAAAATCACTTATCGAAAGTTTTATAAGTGAATACTAATTTATTGTTGCTCTTTTCTTTTAAGAACATTAAGCACTCTATTTTGTAGAATACATTTAAATTTATTTGTGTGTATATATAGTTTTTATCTGTTTGGATTTTTAGTTATAATTTAATTTCATTTAGCTGCTGTGGGGCAGGTACTGCTGCGGACACTGAATATACAACACAAATTATATCAGCCAATATAGAGCTGCATCGTTTAGAAACTCAGAAAAAAGTATAGATATTTTTTAATTGTAAAGATATTTCTTTTGTAGTTAACTAAATATTTTTATTTTTTAAACTTTTTAGCCTAGAGTTGCTACTGCTTGTAGGATGCTGAAACAGTATCTTCACAGGTCAGATTTTATTGATTTTAGACTTTTTATTAATAAATTAGTTTTGATTCACTATTTAAATTTTCTACATAGATATCAAGGTCATGTGAGTGCTGCTTTAGTATTGGGTGGCGTTGATGTTACAGGACCTTGTCTATATACAATTGCACCCCATGGAAGTACAGATAAATTACCTTATGTTACAATGGGTAAGAAATGTTGCAGTATTCTTTACAATCAACAGCATCCATTTTTCAATTTTCCAAATTCAATTCTTGGGACTTATTCTTTTTTTTATTGGAATGTATATGTGCATATGCATAAGTATTTTTTAAACAAGATTAAGAGTTCTACATTGTTAGGCAGGCAAAAAACTTCTATTTTTTTCTTTTCTGTCATTTTTGCAGTCTCTCTCTATAGTCTTCAAGGCTTCTAAGGGATTTTTAGTCAAATAAAATCCAAAATAGTAAAATGCTAACAGCCTTTAATATAATTATTCAAAAGGTGGCAATCAACATTATTTAACTGAAATAATAAAATTGTTTTGCAGATAATCTGGTTTTCATTAAGTTTTATTAAGTTTTAATTAATAGATTTTAAGTTTCTATTTTTTGAATATATATTAAAATATATAAATGTATAATAAATATGTCTATTTGTTATTAAAAGTTTGACCAATGTTTCTTGCCAATCAGTTTTGATCAGGGTTAATAGATATTTCAAGAGATCAAAATAATTTTTTTTAATGAAATAATATTTATAATAAATAGAAATGACAATAGAATAAGTTTTATAACAATAATTTTCAATTTTTTATTGTTAGAGTTTTAAACTTTTCTTAAATATTTAACATCATTTTATCTTTTATTCTAGCAATTTTTAAAATTTTTCTTAGAAAATGTTTATGTTTTAATATCATATTTACGCAACATTACCATATTGTATGTTTTTTATAATACCATCTTTAGGCAACAGTTATATCTCAAAAGTTTAAAACAACATATTAATATATTGCTATATATTGCTAACATTGTATTTAATATAAATACGTAATTAATTTTGTTGTGTGATGTAGGAAATTTGTTGCTTGGCTTTATTTAATTGTTAGTATTAAATATAATTGCAAGTTAGTTTTAAAATAAACTTTTTTAATTTTAATTTAAAAATTAGATAGTTACCTGGTTGCTTGGTTTATTTGTTTTGCCAATATAATTTTTAACTAAATAAGTAAATAAGACATTTTTTTATATAACTACATATTTGGTTTATTACAAAAAGTTTATTGTTTGGTGAAATAATTTTTAAACAACTTTTTTTCTTCCATTTCACATGTAACAAGTTATTAACTTATATTTGTCTTGTTTAATTGTCTCAAAGTTAAGTTTAAATTAAAATTTTAAATTATTTAAATTTAATTGTTTAAATTTTTTAAGTTTATATTTTAATTTTTGATTGTTTTACATATTATATAATATGATATTAAAACACAACTTTTGCAAAAATTCCTTGTCAAAAAGTTTTTCAAATATAACTGGAAAAAATGTCCTTTTAGAATCCATGCCTAGCATGTAGAGCCAACTCACTATTGTGGCTCATTAATTAACCAATCAAAAATCAGTCATATTTTTTTAAATCTGACTTTTTCTTTTCTTGTCAGTTATATTACAAAGTGGTTGACTGGTGTTAAGATAGATGTTTTTATTTTGAAAATTCATATTTATTTGAGTTACTTAGCTTTTTGTATTTTTATTCTAAAAATAGTTTAACTTTTATTTTTATTAATTTATTTTTGACTAATTTCAAATTTTTATATATGGGTCTATGTTATTTTGAGTTATGTGTACTCTGTCTTTTATTATTTTTCTGTGTTGCGTCTAAACTTATACCATGTTTTTTTGTTTTTAACTTGGTATTATTATTGTGTTCCAAACATTTTACTTGGCGGTTTTAACATGAGTTTTTTAAATTTTAAATTATTTTATTTAGGTTCTGGATCATTAGCTGCAATGGCTGTATTTGAGGCTGGTTTTAAACCTTATATGGAAGTAAGTAAACTTTATTTAAAAGTAAACTTTAAATGAAAGCATATAAATGTTATATTAAAGTAAGTAAACTTTATATGGAAGTAAATTTGTTTACTTCCATATAAAGTTTACTTACTTTATGTTTCATAATTTTGTTTACCAGCTCAATATTTTTTTACATTTTAAATTGCAACACATAAATGTTAAAATTTTAGCTCGATGATGCTAAAGAGTTAGTTCGACAAGCTATTCTCGGAGGAATTTTCAATGATTTGGTATGATTGCTACAAATATATTGTTTTTACATAATTTTGTTCATACATCCTCATTATTTAATTATTATTTAATTTTATCAATTAATTCTGTATTTTTTTGGAAATACATGTTTAATTAGTTCAATTACATAAACATTAATGTAAAAGGTAAGCAATGCAAAACAGCTTATTATTTAAGTGAACTCTAACAAATAGTGTAATTAACTCATTCTCTTTTGCATGTATATTCTAGTTAAGAAACTCCTGGGTAATTGAAAATAGTTTTATTTTACTTTGACATAATAGTTTAAGTAAAATTCATTCAAAAAATAAATAAAACAGTTTTATGAGTAACTTTTTAGAGTAACTCATGTCAATCAATAAAGCATAAAAGAACATGCTTTATCAAAGTTAAATACATGGCTGTTATCAAAAAGAAAAGGGCGTTCAAAATATTGTATGTATTTGTGTATGTGAGAACATATAATGTATTTGTGTGTGAGAGTATCTATAATCACACACACAAATTAAAAAGATTTTTTTTGAAACAAAATAGTCAATTACAAAAAATACAATGAAAAAGATAATTAAAATACTTAATATTAGGTTAACAATTTATAAATTAATAACTATTATGTGAAAAGAGAAATATATAATGGTTCAACTTTTTGTTGATAACTGAATTTTACCATTCAGCTAGCACACTTTCGGGCGATTCCATATAAAAACATCTAGCACGTGCAAGCCTTAGTCTCAGATTTTGCTAATTTTTACACCACTCAAAGATTTTAATAAGTTATGAACATTCCCAAAATTTTATAATTTAATTCTAAATGGTTTCAAAGGTATGACTATTCAAACTTTGCCTTGAACCAACAATAATCTGCCATTTAAAAAAAATGGTTTTGATCTTTGTTTCTGTTCTGTGTGCAATTGAAAGCTGAAAATGTGTACACTTACATATTTTGAGGCAAGAAGTCCAATAAAACAACTTAGAATATTAAAAAATAAACAACTCCTGTAGTTTTGACCTTTATCACTATTTTACTGGAGCAATTTGAATTACAAAAATGCAGATGCAGCTCAATTTTTTTACATATTTTTTTTCAGATGTCATCCTGAAAAGTTTAGTTAGAGTTGTTTCAAAGAATTGGAGAGTGGTCTATTCTTAAAAAACACATGGTCAAATTTACTTAAATCTGTTACCAAAACTGTTAAAAAAAAACAGGAGTTATGAAAAATCAAAGGAAAAAAAAGGTGACACTTAAATACACAGAAGTTGATGTTAAATAATTTTTAGGAAATTATTAAATTTTATCAGGGGTTCAAAGCCTCGAAAAGGACACCGGTTTGAAAGTCACAAAAAGATTACTTTTTTGTAGTTTTTAGTTTTCCACGAGCTCTAAAAAATTCTTAGTATCCAGGAGCTCTAAAATGCTTATGGACTACTAATGAGAAAAAAATTATAAACTTTTAGTTTTTGAACATAGAGTTTTTAGATATATTAGCAGCTTGGATTGCTTTAAATCAATAAGTTTCAAGTCATTAAGTCTTATGAACTTTTTTCTTTTTGCAGATCATAAGTCAATCAACATGTTTAGAGCTTCTGGATACCAGAGACCAGGAAAAAATGGAGATATAAAGCTAAGTCTTTTTGGGATTTCACATCCTATTGATTTTACTTGTTATGAACAAAGAAACTGTAACTCAAAATTTAAAAAAAAATAGTTTTTAGTTATTATTTTATAATTTCTGAAACCAGTTTAGGTCTTGAAAATTAGAAAATATAAACTCACTTGTGAAAATAAGAATTCCTACCCTCCTGTTTATTATTACTTCCTTTCTCCCCCTCCCCTTCCCTTTCGGTATCCCCTTTATCTATTACATCTGAACAAAAACTTGATTTGCCTATTGATTGAAAGAGTTTAACAAGTTTATTAGGCTAAATTTAGAGTGCAATTGACCAGTATGTTTTATAATCATTTCTCTTCCTTCATTTACAACTTCTTTCGCAATTCTTAATCCAATTGAAAAAAATTAAAATTAGAAGCGCAAAATTAGAAACATCTCCTCCTGAATAACTAATAATACTTACCACTATTGCAGCATGTTGCCTAACGTAAAGTCCCTCACCTATTGCTGTGAGAACTATTTCTTTAAAATATTTTTAGGTAAAAAACAACAAAAAACAACAACAGGTAGATTGTTTATATCTGTTATGATTCTTATTATTGTCTAATGATTATTACATTCTGATTATGAATTACCTTTTAGGCTCAATTTTATATATTATTAAATGCCAAATTAAATAAAAATTTTGCTTATGATAGTAAAAAAAAAAATTGAACGGTAGTTGGACAATTCAGATCGCTCTTTAGAATTTTTGAAAATAGGGGTTGCAGATGCTACTTCCTGGCAGGGTGGAAAACAAGACTCTGATAAGCACTTTTTAAATAGCTTTGAAAGTATAGACAACAGCTAACAAGACTATAACAGGTATGTTGCTTGGACCACAAGTTATAGATTAGCAGGAATTCACTTTAGATATATAGAATTTTAAGTTATAGAATTTTCTTTTTAATGACAGCCATGCATTTAACTTGGATAAAATATATTCTATTATGTTTTATTCGTTAAAGAATGTGAGAGTTTCTTTAAAATGGCACATAACAGTTTTTCACTTTTGAATGAGATTTAAGCAAAATATATTTTTTGACAAACCTGCATGAATAACAATTAGATTGTTCAAATATATTTTGTTCAAAATATTTTTCTATAGCAAAGATTTGTAAATATTTATGGGGCAATATATTATTTAAAATAGCATTATTAATGGGTTGATGTATCAAAGTCCCTCAGCTCTTATAACAATTTTATGTGTTTTTGTGGGTGAAATGATGTGTAACGTAACTCCTTCATCCACTATGAAAACCGTAAAGCACATTTTTGTACTGTGTTATTAGAGTAAGCATTATTTAAAACTTTTATCTGCATAAAAAAAAGTGGAAAATTGTATTTTTGCGACATAATGCCTTCATCCACTTAGGTCTTCTAATGACTTTTTATGGGTTTTACGTAAGTGAATATTATTATTGTTAATGAATAGTTTCACAGTCTGTGGTCCATCCATACACATACAGTGTCTCAAAAAATTATCCGACCAAACAAGTTTTTCATAAAAAAAAATGTTTACGCTCTAAATTATATTAAAAGCAATGAATAGCGATACTTACTTTGTCTGTCATTTTAATTCTATTGGGAATAGTATGTTATTTAGCGTTCATATTTTTTGATTCATGCTTCAGTTGGTTTATTATTTGTCCCAAAAGAAACTTAGTATTGAATAGGCTTGTAAAAAAATTATCAGACCAAGCGATATTTAGGTAAGTTTAATTAACTTTATGTGAAATTTGTTGAAATATTTTAGCAAATTTTTATACAAATTAATGAAATTGCATAACAAAAAGATGTTTTTTTGTAGTAAAAAAAAAAGTTTTGTATAAAAAAAAGGTTTCATATTTTTTTAAGTAAAATGGTTGGAGGTAGACGTCACTGGACTGTTTCTCAGAGAAATTTAGCTGTCGATCTAGTCAATCAGAGTAAAACCTATTGTCAGGTGCAGCAAGAGACTAGAATTCCTCATAATACAGTATCCGACATAATGAAGAAGTATAATTTGATCGGAACAACAGCCACAAAAGAAGGACAGGGTCGCAAAAAAAAAGACTTTTGATAGAAACTTAATTATATATAAGTCAAAAAAAATGCTTCATTTCTGCTCAAAAACTGGCTGAGCTAGCTAAAGAGAATTATGGAGTTAAATTGTCCCATCAGACAATCAGAAATCGTATCCGATGCCAAAGATTTCAAGGACGACTTTTTTTTTTTTTTTTTTTTTTTTTTTTTTTTTCTTTTAATTCACCTCCTTAAGGCCGAGAAGGCCACTACAGATGAGGAGGCTACTTATTTGTGGATATAACCCTCTCTCAACTCTATAACTCCGAAACACGAACCTTGACGAACAACGACTTGTACGTAATAAACCATATTTGAGTAAGAAACACATGATGAAGATTGGAGTTTGCTAAGAAGTTCAAAAACATGCCGTTAAGTTTCTGGAAAAAGGTCCTGTGGAGCGACGAATCAAAATTCAACTTTAAGTCATCTGATGGAGCCCAAAAAGTTTGGACAAAAGCCGGAAAAGCCTACAAATTGAGCTGCGTGAGAGGAACTGTCAAGTATGGTGGTTACGTGATAGTATGGGGTTCAATAGCTGGGAAGTGTGTGAAAAACTCCAATTTATTGATACTATAATGGATCAGGTGCAATACAGAAACATTTTAAAGCAAATTTGAAGTCATCTGCTCGAAAACTTTGGCTAGGATTTGATTTTACATTTTAGCAAGATAATGATCCCAAGCATAGTGTCACTAAAACCAAGGAGTGGTTTGCTGAAAATAATGTTGAGGTCTTGGAAAGGCTCGCACAATCACCGGACCTTAATCCCATTGGACATTTGTGGGAAGTTTTAGACCAAAAAATCGGAGATCAATCATTTTCCAAAAAAGCCACCTTCCCAGGCTTCTTTAATTGCCACCTCAAAGTGGCAATTAAAGAAGCTTGGGAAAAGATTCAACCAGAAGAAACAAAATCTTTAGTCAAAGCAATGCCTAGACATCTAGAAGCTGTAATCCAAGCAAAGAGAGGCCCTACAAAGTATTAAAATAATTGTTTTGTTATTTAATAACTTATTATAGAACAAAAAATATGTTTGGTCAAATATTTTTTTGACAATAAAAAAATGACCTAAGTTCTTTTATTTTAAGACTGAAAACTTTGTGATTCATACTTTACACTAAAATAAATAAAATCTATTTAAAAACTTCTTTTATTTTTATTAATCTTGAGTTTACCAAAAAAGTCGAAATTTACAAAAATACAGCACTTTTTTTAGGAAAAATATTTAAAAAAATGTTTGGTCGGATAATTTTTTGAGACACTGTACCTATAGCCAACGTATGTAAAACCATCGCAAACATCAGCTGTTTTTCAAACACATTCATGTATTTAGCAATAATATCAATGTAAAAATTAATATCGACGCAGTTTAAAACAACTTGCACAGTTACATTGGTCCAACATATATAAAACCAAAGCAAAAGTTGATTGTTTTTATGATCAAACCTGACTTTGATTCAGCGTGTATTGTCCAGCCTTGGTTCAATCTATATTTCCATATACATTATGTTGATCCAATTAATATAACTCTATTTTGATTTAATGTATATGGTGCAACGTTGATGCAATGTGTACAACCAAACAATGCGAGGGCAATGTTTGGTTGTATACATTATGATCAACCATACATACATTGGATCATTTGTACGCTTTGCAATCTAAAAATACCAAGTTAAATCAATGTTAAATAATGCAATTTGACAACTTAAAATATGACGTTTGTTTTTGTTGTTGTTAGCGATGTCACATTTGTAAAGCATGCAGCCAAAGTGATATAAAAACAATGTCGGCGACTGATGTTGTGCTAAAGCAACACGTATCATTGTTCTAATGTTTTACCAACATTTATTGTAGCTAGGGAGTGTTGAAATTGTTTGTTTTTTTTGACAAAAAAAAACTCGTTTTTTTTTTTAGATTAATTTTAATTGAGCAAATATGTTTCTCTTACTGAAATAACTTTTTAAAGTTTTAATATTTTTGGTGTTTTTAATTGGCAAGTTTAAAACATTATAACTTTGTTATGGTGAAAACTTAAAATTTTAAAAATTTTAAGAGTTAAAGTTAAAGTAAAATAAGAGTTAAAAATTTTGTGCCAACCAAAAATAGTTTTTTTTTTCTGATTACAGAGAGCTGTACATGAAACTTTAATTATTTATACATCATTATAAGTATTAAATTAGTTTTTTTGCCTTATTTATTTTGCTGCTAGGAGGTGTCTTCTTTCCTTTATAAGGGCAGATGTCTCCACCTCAATATTTGACCCAAACACTATGTTATTTTAAATACATAGTATATTGAAAATAGCCAAAATTATAGCAGTAGATCTTTAAATATTCACTGTTGTAAAAAAATTAAATATGCTTTGGTGTCATGACCCAGAAAAATCCTTCAGGCATTTAATTGTACTATCATTGAAGGTTACTGCAATTTAAGTCCCTAAATCTGTTTACACCATCCGTGGAAGAAAATTAATTTTCAAATTTAGCATAAACTAACATTAAATATATAGCTTATTAGCAACATAGCTTATAAGCAACAACAATTTTGTTTAAATACAAAGCTTATAAATATATATAATACATATAATAAATATATTAAATACATAGCTTATAAGCAACATAGATTATAAGCAACAAGAATGTTGGTTTCAAGAATTTTTATCTATCTCAAAAACATAATGAAAATATTTATTCAATAAATTCACTGGTAAATAACAGTTTTCTTTAATTCTGAAAAAGTAAAGTTTCAATTTTGATTGTTTTTTCTTGAAAAAAATCTAAACTGGTTCGTAATATTCCTAATCAATTTTTTGCTGCTGATGTCTGTGATTCATTTTTGCAACCTGTCTTCTTACTCTAGGTGGTTGTTTGGTCTCTTTCCCTTTACTAATTACCTTTTTCCAGTTACCTTTCCCAATTGGTACCAAAAAGATGATAGAGTGCTTCAGTTCTTGCTTTGAATAAATTCCCGAAGAGTTTTTGTGGCGTTAAATGAATTATTGTGGAACATGGTAAATGAATGCATGAACCTTGGGAGTGATGGCAGTGTCCTGAAGTTATTAATTGGAAACTCTGAATTACTCAATTTTTTCAGTATAACTGTCATCAAGAGCATTGCCAAAACAAGCATGGACTACACCATTGAATTTTCTTAGTGTGTCAATAAAAGGAACAACTGGAAATGAGTGCTGTTAGGCCATTCTCTCTAAAACATTCATATTCTTCAAAAGCTTCCTGCACTCATTTCCAGCCAGTTGTCCACCAAGAAATGGCTGCTGTTGAATATGAAGTAATGCTCACCATTCAGGAGCATGTGTCTAAATCTTGAGAGAGACTGTAGAAAATAATTTATGAGACCAAGCAACAGATGAAGTTCCATGGGTGGAAGCACATCAAGGACAAAGGATTTATCTGAGACATAGATGATGGGTGCATGAAGAGATTTTTTGAAAGAACTTGCTTACTTGATAATAGCACCAGCCACATTGAATGTCTAATAGTCTCTTCTGATTGATCCAAAAGTTCTTAGAGATCCACACTTTGCAAAATCTTTTGACGAAATGGAACACCAAGAGTATGGGTGTGCACTTGAGTGTGCTTATAGACCACAAATGGTATTTGCCAGCTTCATATCACAGGAAAAAATAATGGAAAGTTCTTCAAGGTTCAGCAGATCAAAAATTTGCTTGACATTGCTATAGTTTTTCTCTAGATCTTAAGAAATAGCAATTAATAACTGACACTTAACACCAAAATCTTTGGCTAGAGAATTAGTGAGAAGTCATGTTGATGGTGATAATTATAAAGCTGAATCTTTTTCCATGATTCCAAAGCTTACTTTTAGAAAACCACCATCACCATCCACTCCCAGCTTTACAATGTAATCATCAGAGAGTTTTCTATTTTAAGAACTTGCTACCAAAGAACTTTCAACTCTTTGCAATGAATGACAAGTTTATCCACCTAATTTGTTCCTTTGTCTGTTGCAACTCTGATCCAAATTTTGGAAAAACGACTTTCAAGTTTTTTGATCAATTTATCAAACTTGGAGAGAAAGTTCTTATCAACAATAAGTCCGACTTGAAACAACTTGATTTAGTGTTAACATCTGCTTTTTTACAACAGACAGCCCTGTGTTGTGTCGCACATAAACAAGATCTTTTGCTGTCAGTTCTGGTCCTTCATCAAAGTCTTTTTGCTCTCGAAGATGAATCTTAAAAGTAATTGAGAAAATTTTTACTTTACATTTCATAGCCTTAAAATATAAAGCTAAAATTTCAAATATCTAATGCAATGTTACCTGGAAGAACTGGAATAGGTTGTCCTCCTATTTTCTTAGGTCTATTAAGGCAAACTGTTCCATGGAGGTGAGCATCCTTGTTTGCAATGACTGATGCTGCAACTCTTTTAGTTGCCACAGAGTTCTTTGACACAATTTCTGCTAAATTCTTTTGCAAGATAGACTTTGAACATTTGTTCAGGAGACCTTTGCTAACAGTTGAAAACAGACAACAGCTCCTTCAGAATTTGTTGTGCCTTTTCTGTCATGAAGCTGGTTAAAAAAAAAGGCGATTAGCCTTCCCAAGACAAAAGAAGCAAACGGTCTTCCTGTTTTTTTCTTGGTTTTTTTGCTTGTTTTAGCATTTATTTATTTTTAAATTCAGATGCCAAGTCTATGAAAAAAATGAATTGAACAACTAATACTCAATCTTTTTTCCAGAATTTTATCATAATACTTTATAAAAAAGCAACTTCGATTTTTAAAAATTTTTTCGGTACAGATAACTCGTATATTAATTTTTAAACTAAAAAAATGCAACCATTGCTTTTTATTTTATTATTAAGACAACTTATTTAACACCACCTATCAAAATTTATGAAGATAATAAAAGTAAAAGTTATAAAAAGTTAAATTTTATTGCCCAAGAGTTAAATATATTGCAGTTTGTTAATGCGATTTTATGCAAATTTGAAAATGGATTTCATGGACGGTGTTATCAGATTTAGGGACTTATAACCTGGTAACCATCAATGATAGTGCAATCATACCCACAAAGGATTTTTCTGGGTCATGACAAAGCAATATTTCATTTTTTTAAAAAAGTGTATTAGAAACTATTATAGTACTCTAACCTTACGAATAAACAGGTGAAGGAGGTTAATAATTTTGTTGTTTTTCCATCCCCTCGGAGTTTATTAGATCCCCCTCCCTAAAAAGTACTTTTTGTTAACTTTAGCGTAAGTTTTAGTGTAAGTAAAGCATAGTTAATGCGCAGCCTAACTTTCGTAGATGTTGCAAAGATTTATAAAAGCTAATACAAAATATAAAAATTTTGCTCGTTATTTGTAGTTCTAGCATAATGTTTTATTTGCATATTCATAAACTTATTTTAAAAAACTATAATTTTTGTTTTAAAGGGCTCCGGTAGTAACGTTGATTTATGCGTGATAACTAAAGATGGTGTCGATTACATCAGGCCTTATGACAGAGCTAACAACAAGGGAGTTAGATCACGTTCATACAAATATTTAAATGGTGCTACAGAGGTGTTGACTACAACAGTGGTTAAACTTGCTCCTGAATTAAAAGAAACAAACGCAGAAGAAGCAATGGAGAGTTGAGTTGTAAGGTGTGGTACCTAGTCAGTAAACTTTGTTCCCAAATATAAGAGTTATTTCGTAAAAAAATGTTTCTTTGCTAGTTTTTTGTTTATTTGAGTGTGCATATATATATATATATATATATATATATATATATATATATATATATATATATATATATATATATATATATATATATATATATATATATATATATATATATATATATATATATATATATATACATGCATTTACATAAATACATACATACATATATTTAAAAAGGTTTGTACAGTAGTTTATATACAGTGAAAAACAATTTATAACTAAAACTAATTTGTTCCAATAGCTAAATTGTAGAGTCCTCATCATTCGAACTATCTTCTATGATTGCTTCCTGTTTACTTTTTTTTTCACGACGTTTTTCTTGCATTTTCTCTTGCAATATGTCTACCAATTTTTCTAGCATAGCTCGGCGTTTTAGTAACTCGTTATAACTCGATTCATGCTCAGTTGTGTCGTTTAATTGCGGCGTTGATTCCTGGTGTAGTTCGTAATTTTCCGAGTGCAAGTGACGTAATGCATTCTGAACTTCATTAGCTTTCGTGCCACTTTTATTGTGCTTAATGTAATAAATAATATGTTATATAAACTAAGAAAGTATAAATCATTAATTAAAATAAAAAACCTAGAAAACTTTAGAATTTTAGCAATGATCGATTAGATTTGTCATAATTTGGGTGTTGCATTCGTTTTTTGACTTAGTTTATAGACACAATTGAACACTATCAATTATGACTATAAATGTAAAAATTGTATATCGACTAAATAATTTAGTACAAAATATATCATAAATATTTTTTTAAATCAAAAATATTTATAATTATTATTTTTTTAAATCAAGCATGCTTAACTGTCTTTTAATGTAAAAGATTTTTAATTAACTAATATATGTTGTAAAGGTTTTTTACTCTTTAAGCTCTGTAAACACTCCTCGAAATTTTTGAGGAATCCTAATATTAGAAAAATAATTTTAAGTACAATTTTGCAATTTTTTTTAACAAAAAATTATTAAAATCAGCATATACCTGTAATTTTATTACTGGGTGTTTAATAGAAAATAATAATAATATAGTTCTGCATCTTTTGAGTGACATAGTTCTAAAAAAATAGTTTCGCTTATATTAAAACCTATCAAAGTTTTTTTTTTGTCCCTTTTCATTTTTTATGCGCATGTGCGAATTCTTACGGTACTTAAAAAGGTCAAGTAGGAAAGTTTCGTGTAATTTCTCGCACTTTCTGAAGGCAATAAACACAGATCGTCAACCTGTTGCCAACTAGATCCGGTCACTCTGCTATGTTTTAAATCCAGATTAAAATAAACGTTGAAAATTTTATTCATAAAATCTATTTAAAAAAATGCTTGCTTGCATAATAAAAATACATCCTTTAAAAAGCTGTGATGTGTAACAGATAGATTTTGTTGCTTCTTTTGTAACAAAACGATTCATATCGCTCTACGTGCATAGTGTTTATTTCTACATAAAACTAACACAAGCTATTTCAAAAATTTTAGTATATCAAGGAAAATTTTCCCGACTCTAGAGGAAGTTCGTGTATCTAGGACCACCCCTACTTTATAGAAAAACTATAAGGTTTTAAGACGTGCTTCTTAGTCAGGTAATTAGTAATAAAAATTTTTGTTTTTTAATCCTATTTTGATTCTCAGAGCATTTCCGCGTCAAGTCGCGATCGGAAAACGCTTTTTGAATAGTATATAGTAATTTCTGCAGCTAGTATTTTAAATTGTTTTACAATCTTAAAGAAAATGTTTTTCTATATGATCATTTCTATATCTTGTATATTTTATAGTTTGTTACTTAAGTACTTAATACGATGTTCAATAAGTTTCCTCTCAATCTGAGTTAGTTAATAGATGACGTTTTACGTGACGCTATCAAGTCTTGAATTTAGACCCATATAATTTGCTTGTACCTTCGGCCAAATGTATGTTTGTCTGATAAAAATTTCTTTGATCGCAAAGTAAACTGTTGTATTTCACAAGGTAGGTTAGATTGAAAGATTGAAAATTGGTACAGAGAGATTTTTTTTTTTTTTTTTTTTTTTTTTTTGCGGTTGTTTTGGGATTACCATTTTACGCGTAGGCTTAATCGTCGTTTTTGCGCAGAACTGTCAAGATTAATATTTTTAAATGTTTATTAATTTTAGGTAAATCTAGATAAATTGGTTTAAAATAATCTAGTTAAACAAATTTTTAATAAAGTTTATCTTTCTTTTAATTTTTTTTTACGTATTTATTCAGAGTTAAACATTTCTGACGGGCCCAAGGTACAATACCTGGTGGCTCTAGGTAAAATTTAAAAAATAGCTTATTGTACCTAGTGCCACTATTTTTTAAACCCTTTTACATGACTAGCTTTTATACTTGAAGTCACCATACACCAGTTTAAAATTACAAAAGAGCCTAAGGCATTCGATACTGTTATTCGCATTCGATAGGCATTTGGCATTCGATCCTTTTTTTCAATCCTAAGGCACTCGATACTAAGGCATTGTTATTATATATAACATACTGTTATCCGATACTAAGGCATTCGATACTAAGGCATTCGATAGGCATTGAAGGCATTTGATACTAAGACATTCGATACTGTTGATCACGGAATTTTGCTTTCAAAGCTAAATAATTACGGCATTAAAGGCCTAACATATAAGTGGGTTAGGAGTTATCTTTTTAATAGAAAACAGTTAGTTGTCTTGGAGGAGTCAGGAGCTCTTAATATTGTTTGCGGAGTCCCACAGGGATCAATTTTAGGATCTTTATTATTTTTAATATATATCAATGATATGAATAAAACTTCTCATAAAGTATCGTCAATTATGTATGCAGACGATACAAATTTATTCGACAACAATTCTGATGTAAAAATATTGTTCGAAACAATGAACACTGAACTAGAAAGCTTTAACCAATGGTTTATAGCTAATAAGTTATCATTAAATTGTGAAAAAACAAATCATACTATCTTCCATAAAATAAGACAATCAACTAATCTTCCATTAAAGTTGCCAAAACTGTCAATCATTAAAAATGAAATAAATCGAGTAAATCATTCAAAGTTTTTGGGAGGAATATTTGATGAGAACCTATCATGGAAAAAACATATTAGTCTCATTGAAGCAAAAATACCTTCTGCTATAAGTTTATTATATAAATCTAGGGCCTTTCTTGATTATAAATCACGCAAAATGCTTTACTTTAGTCTTGTTCATTGTCATCTCTCCTACGCTAATATTGTTTGGGCTAACACACACAAAACTAAGTTTTTAAGATTACAGAGCCTACAAAACCACGCATGTAAAGCAGTTAACTATTTAAAGAGATTAGAAAACCCATTTACCTGTAATAAAATACATGAATGTTTTAAATTTATCAAAAATTAATTCGCTTCAAATATTAATATTTATGTATAAATATAAGAATAACTTGCTGCCAAAAGTGTTTTCTGATACTTTTATATCAGCATTTTCACAAAAATACAATCTTTGGTCAAACAACAACCATAACTATCACTTAAGCATAGTAAAATCGCAGGTGTCGAAATTCTCAATTATTAGCCAAGGCCCGTCATTATGGAGTCAATTAAAAAATAATAATATAAAAAATTTGAAAAGCACTTTCTCTTTTCAACGACAAATGAAACTGCATTTTCTTAATTTCTGACATATATGTAAGTATGTTTGTATATGTGTGTGTTTTTATGGTTATATGTATATATGTATATATGAGTTTTTCTTTATTCTTCATGTAGTATAAAATATTTGTTGTAAATTTTCTAAAGCCATGTGGGCTTTAAATGATATTGTAAAGGGGCTCTATGAAAAGATTGTGGTGACACCAGTCATTCTTATCTTCTTTGAGTCCCTGTCTGTTTTATATATATTCTTTGTGTAATGTAAAAGTTTTATATTTAACTTTATGTTTTATTTAGGGATGCGGAGTCCCGAAAAGGACTCCGGATTTGAATGTCGCAAAAAGATTAACTTTTCCTAGTTTTTGGTATCCAGTAGCTCTAATAATATAAAAATGCTTTTGGATTGGTAAAAAAGTTAAAGCTTTAGGTTAGAGGAACAATCTCTGTTTGAACCCGGAGTCCTTAGGCATAATGGCGGCTAGGTCTGCAAACGCTACCTAGTTTTCTTTTTTCTATTAGGAAAAGTTTGTGTGGAAAATTGTTTTCCAATTTTATTGATTATTCAAATGGAAGCAAAAAAAAAAGTTCATATTTTATGTTACAATTATGTATGTATATATATGGATATTTTTTATATCTTGGTTTATCAATAATCACAAGTGGTTTCCAACTTTATGATATTACCATAAACCACAGCAGTTGGTAGGAAGACTTATCTTAGGCTACCATGTGTATCTCAATTTACATATTTATTTATACCCTAAATTAAAAACCTTAATTGAAGAGAAGAAAAGTGCACCTTATGTTAATAGCTTTTTTTTTATTTGATTCTAATATCATTTTTTCTATTTATGTTTTAATCCAACTTTATGAGATGATGTACTACTTTATATATATATATATATATATATATATATATATATATATATATATATATATATATATATATATATATATATATATATATATATATATATATATATATATATATATATATATATATATATTTTTTCCAAATAATATTTAAAAAAAAATTCTATTGTTAAGTATTATACGAAATTACTTATAAATTATAAATCTTAATAATAACTGAGGACATGAATTGTTTATGAATTTAAAGTTATTTTAACATAACTAAGGTCTTCAGCAATTCTTCAAATAATAATGATATTTTATAGATTTATTTTTTGTATAAATGCAACATTTGTGGAGTTTTAGTTTATTACAATTAATTAAATAATTATATATATATACATATATATATATATATATATATATATATATATATATATATATATATATATATATATATATATATATATATATATATATATGTATATATATATATATATATATATATATATATATATATATATATATATATATATATATATATATATATATATATATATATATATATATATATATATATATATATATATATATATATATATATATATATATATATATATATATATATATATACATATATACATATAGTACTTGAAAATTTCATTTTTTAAAAATCAGATAAGTGCTTAAACTGTTGCCAACTAGCCCTTGGCTACAAAAACGCGTCTTCTATGCATGAATAAATAATAAGACAGCGTGATAATTAACAAGTTTACCTTATCATTTGTTTTATTATGATCTTTATTTTTAAATATTGTTTGGTTATCTTTGTGTCGCGGGGAGGAGTACGGTGTGTTTTCATCGATCTACAAACAAACAAAATATTATGTCTTACTTTTTCCTTTTTATAAAATTAATTAATTTCTTAACCATGCAAACAATTTTGCTGGTTGAAATAAGCAAGTATTTTGTTGCTAATGCAGCAAAATACGTGCATGTCTTATTTACCCAATATTTTTTATTACTTCTAACTTTTATAGAAGTATCAAACTTTTTCTTATTATAATATAAAAATTAAAATTTTTTTTTTTTTAGAAAATACCATATTTCAATTTTTAGGTTAAAAAAAACTTGTGCAAGAATTTTTATTAAGGTTTTTTGCATTTTCATGTCGACTCTATTAAAAAATATTGATTTTTGTTAAGGGTGAGAGAAGACAAAAAGTTTTAGGGTCTTTACAAAATCCAAAAAGTGGTTTCTAAGTTTTAGGATTTTACGAAATCAAATAGGTAGCTCCTTACACTAAAATTATGTGTAAGACATCCTTTGCTTGATATTTGGTTTTATTCCTCGCGTTCTTGTCGCAAAATTGTTAAGATTAAATAGTTTTTATAGCTTATTTGGTTTTTTATTTGTAAATATATTTACAGCAAGTTTTAAAATAATTAATATCTATTTAAAATATGAAATTTTTTTTTTTTTTTTTTAATTTTTTTTTTTGTTATTTAGATGCCCCAAGAAGACCTAACGGTGTTGTCACAGAACACCGCGAAAGTGCATTTAACCAGGAAGTTCACGTCTCCTTCCCTACCGTGACGCGAAAATATGTCCAGAGCTCGTTTCGAACCTGGATCTCCTGATACTAAAGCAAGTGCTCTAATCACTGCGCCACGGCCGCACTAGTCTCCTTTAATTAATATTCTTATTAATTATGCTTAAAATCAACATAAAATTATTTTATAAGATTAAAGATTATTTTTTACTTTCACGATTTATATGTATAAACTTGTACTTTCAAAACTATAAATAATACAAAAAGTGTTCCATTTAATAACAAAAACTGAACCCACCATTTTGTTTAACAAATGGACCTCACATTGAATGTCTTTTAACAATGTTCGAATTAGATGGCTATCGTAACTCTTTTCCGCTTTTTCAAACTGAAGAATAATATCGTTTATTGACACACAATGCGGTAAATTACTCTGAATATGCGTAGCATAAATAAAAAATAAAAATAAAAAAATACTAGAGAATATTATTATTTATAATTATTGTTTATTATAAATAATAAAGAAATTTATAAAAAACTAAAAGTTACCCAGCATTGCTCGCTGATGAAAAGTTTATTTAAAATGCGATAATATAATAAATTAAGTATTATCCTCTTCATAATTTGTAACCCCCAATCCTATACAGCCAGGGTTGAACAAAAGTATTCAAAAAAGTGAGTTTCAAGACAGAATCAAAAATGGCCGCTTTACATATTGCCTATCTTTTTTTTATGGTCCTTTAACCCTATAATTTTTTAAGAATCCTAACCTGTCAAAATTTTCATAAATAAACAAAAAAGTGAACTTTAAAAAAGGTTGAAAATGACCGTTTTAGATTTAAAGTATATTACTATATGGTTCTATAGATCAAAAAAAAGCTCTTTTATGCAAAACTTATATTTTTTTCAAAATCCTATAGTTTGTCTGAATCTTTTTTGTTATTATTTCTTGTCTAAACTTGCTAAGGATTGGATGAATTGCGTAGGAGTTGATAAAGTGCATAAATAAAAACAAGCATACATTTATATTTATATGTAAATAAAATAAAAGTTATCATTTTATATTAAAGAATAATAAAAAAGTTAGGTACCTACACTTGATTTCGTTTTTTCATAAGATCTTCCAGTTCTATTGTTTTTGTGTTCTTTTAAAGAATGATCATTAACGCTCTAAATAAGTAACCAAATAAATTTCAGAAGTTTTTTTATGAATTTAAAAATATTTATTGGAAAACATTTAACTTTAACATTTATTAAAACTAAATGTTTTTACAATAGGGCAAGGATTTCAACTAAACATGTTTTTTTATTGTAATGTAAAGAAAGGATCGTTCATAAAGTAGGTGCGCAGTTATCTTAATTATACCGCAATTAAAATTTAAATATGCCGCTATTTATAAATAAAATAAAAAAATAAATACTAATTCGAAAAGTGGTAAATAAAACTTTTGTTTTGTTATTCAATTATGGTTAAATATTAAAACTACATTTAAAATTTGAAGTTAAAATAAAAATATGTGAAACTTAAAATACTAAATTTCATTGAATGATAAAACTTAAGAGTAACACACATGAACACACCGGCCTAATATAGTCATTATGCTCATGTGCTCTGTACTCATGCATTTGATTTATTAATTCTGTAAAAAGACTCAAGTCTTTTTACAGAATAAATTCTAGCTATGTGTGTACAAAGCCATGAGTAACTGTAGCCTTGTGTCTACAAATGAAAAAAAAAATTATTTTTACTATTAAAGTAAATAAATGGAAATTTTTTTTTAAAACTAATGCCTGTCATTAAAACCTACCAAGTTACCGTGCTGTTCCTCTAAATGTCTATAGAATTTTGGAGATGTTTTTATCTTTTCTAGGTCTTCTGTAAATTTAGACAAATAATGATTTTGATAACTGTTTGATATTTCATTATGTTCTTGATTTTGTGATAGCGACGCGTTAACAGTAGAACATCTTTCGCTATGGAAAATTAATGGGTCGTCAACCTTTTTATTTCTAATATTTGTATTTTGAATGTTTTCGTTATTTGCTGATGTTAGTTGAGGTTTGTTTTGGTCATTGTTAAATTTAACGTTACTGCTAAATCGTTTTTCAAACGACGAATCAAAACAGGTCATTCGCTCAGATTCGTTATTGGAACTCGAATCCGTTTTTTTAAAACAACTATTGTTACATAATGCTGCTTCACTGCAGTTACAAAATTCTTGATTTATACTGTGCCTACAAATAATTCTATCTAATTTGTTGATAATATTTTTTGAAGATTCTGTAGAAATAGTTGATGATACAGGGAGCTCTTCTTTGTTACTACTGCATTTTATTTTATTTTTGAGCTGTTCGATTTCTTGTTCGTATGATTTTTTTACGTATTCCAAACGTTTATTAAACTCTACAACGTATTTACTTTGCACAGTCACAAGCTCTTGTTTGTGATTCAAATCAGTTGTGATTTTAAGTTTCTCAATTTTTTCTCGTAAAGACGCTTTTTCAGAGTTGGACTTTTGAAGATTTTCGTTGCATGCTTCTAATTTTGATCTTATTTCTTCGCGCTCAGTTTTCAAAGCTTCAAGCTCGTCTTTAACTGTTTGAATTTCATTGTCTTTTTTTCTCAAAAGTTCTGCATCCTGCTGAAATCGCTCATGCAACCTTTTGTTTTCGTTCCTTTCAGTTTCAAGTAAATTTCGTAAGCGATATGATTCACTCTCGTAATTTTCAATTTTTGACAACACCCCTTTTTGGTTTATCAGATTTCCTTCTATCTCTCTTCGCAAGCTAATGACTAACTTTTCTTGTTGTAATTTTTCCCGTTCAAGAAAAATATATCTATTTGTTGATTCGTTTAACTCCTCTTCTATTCTTTTTAGTTCTGCTCTGGTCTGTCGTTCTTTTTCATTAGCGGCCTCAATGTTTTTCTGAACATCGGTTTTTTCAATTCTTAAAGTATTTATTTCCTGGGACAGATTTTTATTCTGATCTCGCAATAGTTTTACGCTATCTTCACAATCGTTGGACATTTTTTCGCTTAAGCAAAGCTTACTTTCGAGGTTTTTTTTTTCGGCCTCAATCCGAATTAAATTTGAATGCATTACTTCATTTGCGTTTTCGATTAACCTTTTTTCAGCTTTTAACCTTTCGTTTTCAGAAATAATTTTTTGAAACTTTATTTGATACTCATGGTTTAGCTTACTTGCATATTCTTTTATTGTAGATGATTCGTTTTCTAAGTTTGTTTCTAGTTCTCTGGTTCTACGAGCTAATTCTACTTTTTCCTTTGTTGTTTTTGTTAACTCTTTGTTTAACTTTTCGTTTTGTTCACGTACTGCTTTTGTTTCATTATAAAATTTTTCTTGAAACTCTCTGTACAGTTTTTCTTTAAAATCTTCGTTATATCGATTGTTATTCAAAGTTGCTTCATATAAATCGGCTTTTAGTTTTTTTAAATCGTTTTTTAATTCTGTTATGGATTCGTCATATTCACGCTGTTGTTCCTTAAGTTTGAGTGTGTGTCTCCGCTCAAGTTTTCGTTTTATAAGTTCAATCTCTTCAATATAATGTTTTTCGAGTTCCATTCTTTCGTTTTGAAACTGCGCTTCGAGTTTTGACGCTTGTCCCTTCCATAAACTCCCTACTTCGTATCTCAAATCTTTTAAATGATCAATATCAGAATGTAAGTTTTTGATTTCGCTTTCATGAGCAAGTTTTTCCCGTAAAAATTTCCTTTCATATTCGAGTTCCAATATATCTTTAATTCTTTCTTTTTCTTTACGAAAATTTCTTTCTAAAGAGTCTTTTTCGCTTTCTAGTTTTTCTTCCATTTCAAAATTTAATATAAATTCTTCCGGTCTAATTACACGAGATCCATCGAGGCGTACAAATAGTTGTTTCTCACATGCTTCAAAGTTTTGTTTGGGTGTTTGTTGCTCAAGCATTTGTTCTCCGATCAACTTATCATGTTTCTCTGTTGAATCAACTGTACTTGGCTTTTTTACAACATTTTGTTGACCATGTTTAGTTTTTGAAGCCTCAAATAGTCGAGATTCTATTTTCTCAAGCTGTTTTTGAAAATCCTTCAAAATAATTTCGCGCTCTTTAATAAACTTATTAATAAGGTTTTGTTTGTCTTGCTCATGATTTTGATTAATTATTTTTTTTTCGATCATAAATCCTTTGACTAAATCTTGTTTTTCATTTTCAAAATTTGCCTCCACATCGGGTTGCACTTTATCATTAAAATTTATTGGGTCGACATCAAAACTCATTGGGTCGTGCTCTTTGTCAGAATGTATTAACTGAGAGTCTTTTGAGGGTAAATCAAAGTTGAAATGCGTTTTATACCAATGACTTAAATGGTCTAAGTTATATAGTTTCTCGTTTCCTATATTTTCTTGCATTTCGATTTCGCTTTTCAGCGTTGCAAATGTTTTAGCGACGTTTAAGTATTCAAGTTTCCACTTACTTATTCATAAAAAGCATTCATTTAGTCTATACTCAAAATGCGTTGCTAAAAAATTGTTTATATACCGGTTTAAATGTTGTTTTTTAAGCTTAAATGTTATGAAAATGTCTGTTTTCCAGGGGATTTGGTACAAAATGGTTATAAAAAATATTTTATATTAATAAACTCTCAAAAATCATTTTAAATTCTTTTTTTTTTTTGTACACAAAATAATTTAATTTATTCATAAAATAAGAACATAAGGTAAGCACTACGATTAGAATTAGTATTTTAAAATGCGAAAAACAAACAAACAGAATAAGATTGTTTTTGGGAATTTTTTTTTTAATAAAATTTTATCATAAACTAGGTTAAATCTTTCAAAGACAGTAAACCACCCGATATCACCCAATACCACCTGTTGTGGTATCGGGTGGACACAAAAAAATCCGGTCAACATTAAATTGAGATTTCTATAAAACCACAAATATTTTTTATTTCTATTATTTTTTTAATTAAACTTTACTTTCTTATCTTTAATTTTGCTCACAAACCTTTGTTTACAAACCAATGATTTGCAAAATGTTTCAGAAGCAAATTGGGGTGCGTAAAAAAAGTTGTGATTTTTTTTTGTGCAAAAATCCATTGACTTTATATCGCTTGACTGCTAAACGTACGTCCCAAAATCTACAGTCATAGATATTGTATGTTTAGAACTGCTCAAAGTTTCGGAAGAAAAGTTGGAAGTGGAAGAAAGAAAACTTTCCGTAAATCCATAAAGTAAAGATGATTCTCAGTTCAATAGAAAGAAATCCAAACCAGTCATAGTCGGATCTAGAAAAAAATTCAAGGCTTCGCGTTGTTATATCAAAAAAACACTTAAAATGCTGGAATTAAAGCATTCCATAAGAAAAATACTTACCTCTAATTTCACAATTTAAGAGAAGCTTAAATTGTAAAATTAGAGGAAAGAAGTTGTTTAAAATAACGGCGGATAAAAATATGTGCATAATTGAAGATGACAAAACATATTGCTAGGCAAACTTTCTACAACTGGTCAACAATTTTACTATGAGAACAAAGATAAACCTGTCGATGATTAATTTTAATATATATTTGACAAGAAAAATTTGCATCCAAGTTCTTTATGAGGCAAGTAATTTGTAGTAGTGCATGTCCACTTGTATTATCACTAAGAGGACCTAGGCTGCCGATCTCTACATTAAACAATGTCTCTAAAAAGACTTTTTCCATTTATGAAAAAATACAAATACGATGTCTCTTTTGGTCTGATCTTGCTGCTTCTATCTATTCTAAAAAAGATATACAGAGATGCAAAGATAAAAATGTGAAAATTGTTTCTAAAGATGCGAATCCTCCAAATTGTCCTAAAGAGCGAAAGATTTAAGATTTTTCGGCAATAGTTAAAGAAGTTCTTTGTAAGACAGGTGGAGTAACAAAAAATAAAAAGGAATTCCAGAAAAATTGAATTAATGCCACCAATATGGTGAAAAAAGAAAAAATCTGCGAAATGATGGCATCAAACCGCTATAAAAGTTGATCTCTTGGAAAACAATCCATCGAACCCTTTAAAATTAAGTTGATACCCTTCTTAAAATAATAAGCATTTATGGTTTTAGAGAAACCTCAATTTATAATTGACAGGATTTTTCCGTGTCTACCCGATGTATTTATTCAACTATTGTATTTTAAAAGTACATATATTCATATTCTTAAAACTTCATTCAAATTAGCTTGTGAAGTTGTGTACGTGAGAACGCTCGCACTTTGTGTTTACACTCGACGTCAGCTTTTTGCACGGTCTTCGGCAGGACTTTCTTGGTAGTTCTAATTGATTTAATTTTGAAGTCTTGGATGGTTTTAGGTTTTTTTACATTGAACCTTGGAAAAGTTTGGTGGACTGCAGCATTTTTCAACAATATTATATTCTGTTAGCTAGTTCAAAGTTGTCTTAGAGTAGTGACATAATGTTAAATCGGGCCAAATAACGAATAACTCGTATGAGATCTTCAAAACGGCAAAAGACGCTTCTTAAGACATTCTTTGATGTATATTTCAGTGTTAATTGTTCCCGTAGTCACATAACAAGCGATTTTTTACCGTATTCACAAATCGCTTGCTAAACTAATACTTTTTTAGCATGTTTTTGCATTCCAATTAGGGATGTACCGAAGCTTCGGCTTCGGCTTCGGCTTCGGCAATTTTGCCGAAGCTTCGGTTCGGCCGAAGCCAGGTCAATTTTTTGCTTAAAGTTATAAGCTACTGTGGGACAAGTTATAAAAATAAGCTAATTGCCAGTGTCTAATAAAGTTATAAATTTAGGACTACAGAGTTAAAGTTGGAGTCTATACCATATACTTAGTATTATTTACTCCCAAGTGTCTTGTTATGGAGGGGATAATAATAAATAAGTAAAAATATTTTGAAAAAAATAATAAAATTAAGGAAGGTCCTCAAACACTTTGAATGCTTCCAAGTGTGACTTTAGATGAACTGAAGCAGCATTTCTATGCAGAATAAAAACCTTATAATTTAAAACAAATTAAAAGTTTTTAAAACCTTAATAACGAATTCATATTAATTATTGTGTGGGATTACCGCAAATAGAACAAAATTTGGTTTCAACATTTGACCGATAAACCTTAGTAATCTCTCTTTAAAGAAGATTAACGATACGTTGCTACTATTTTAAATTGTGTGTATGATTAATTTTTTAAAATTTTATTTAACCATATTAATAAAAATTTACAAATTTTCATCGTAAATTTACAGAAATTTGTTAGGTGTCACTTATATAGATACAAAATAGTCAATGGAGTGACACATAAAAAACAAAAAGTTCTCAACAACAAAAAAGGAAGAAAAGCAAATGAAATATAAACGAGGAGAATAAAAAAAGAAAAAAAAAAGCCAACAAAAACTTGATAAATTAAAAGAAAAAGAAAAACAATGATAATAACTATCCTCAGGGGCGGACTGGCCAAATTATTATGATGTGGAAAAATATTTTTAACGGCCCTGTAGGCCAACGAAAAATGAGGAAAAGCAGCAAAGATAACAGACGTAAATTACAAAGTTATGCTTAATTTATAAATATATACATTAATGAATAAATATCGAACAGAAAAAATTTATTAGAATACATATACGTAAAAACAAAGTACTTAACAACGGCCCATGTGGAATAGTCCACATCTTCCACATGGCCAGTCCGCCCCTGACTATCCTTGCTCTTTTATTAATATTATGAATACTTCTAAATTGAATTTATATATTAAACATATAAACCAATATTCTGGTTTCTTCTTATGATATTATGAAGACTTTTAAATTTTATTTAAAATAAATTAAAGGTTGAAGCTTTGATTACTTTGAACTCTTATATTTATCATCAAAATTTATTTAAATTAAATAAACAATTTAAATCAAATAAATATCAGCCTGCTCAGTCCCTGTTTATTTATAAATATAAAGTAAATAATAATATAATTATTAATAAAAAATTTATAAAGTATTCTATTTATTATTTTATTTAAAGCTCACTCTACAGAGTTGTTAGATTACTTTGGAAGTTTTTATCACAGATAGTTAATATTTGATTTCAGATACTGATGCAGATTTATCCATTATAGAGACAGAAGAAGAATGAATACTAAGATTTCAAAGTAAAAAGTTGAAAATAATAAAAAAAAAAATACTTAAAAGTGTGTAAAAAAGAAGTTAGAGAGAAATCTATCATTTGTACTTTTTTTTAACAGCAGGAGCACAACAGTTGTAGTGGAATCCAAAATGGTCTTAACTTGGGTTTTTTTTAGTTTAGAAATTGTTCGTTTAAAGAATACAGAGAAGTAAAAAAAGATATTGAAATAAATAGCAATAAAAAGATAAAGTGTGTTTCTAAGATTTTTTATGTTGTAGATACAACTAGATCAGTTAAGAGTGTTTATTTAAAGAAAGAGTGATCAAGTGCAAAAGATAATTTTACTCTAGTAATGTTCAGAGATTTTTATCCACTTCTATTTAACAAATGGTGCATTAAAAATAAAAATAAAATATACAGCACATGAAAAAATGCTATATAACATTAATATGGTTTGCACACAGAAAAAGTAGAACTAGAAGTAGGAAAATTTGGGGAGAATGTTTCAAAAAAGCTTAAGTTTAAAAAAAAAACGCTCGATGCGGTCAAGTATCAGAAACGACATAATGAGAAACTTTTAAACAGGGGCGCTGAGAGCTTTTGCCCTGCCTGGAACAGCAACCCTGACTGGCGTCCTCATTTTTATACAATTTTTCTATATTATTAGTCAAGGACCTTAGTTTTGGTACCTTTTTTGTTTTACACCCCTGCTGATCTGAATGCTGATTAAATTTTAAGCATATATAGTGCCGAAGCTTCGGCTTCGGCAAAGTGGCTTCGGCCGAAGCTTCGGCTTCGGCAAAATTTCAGCTTCGGTACACCCCTAATTCCAATGCATTTATATTTGAAATTCAGTTTCTTGCAATTAATTGCTAAATAATATTGGTGTCTTGGAAGTTAACTAATATTGGTGTCCTAGGAGCAATTGGGTTTATGCAGCACAATAAGTTTCATCATCTATAATTAAACAAGATTTTTTAAGCACACATATGTTAATAGAGCAGCTTTGCACAACGAATTCTAACATTTTCTTGCTTTTCTTTACAAGTAACTTTTTTTTTTCATTAAGATCATAGCCACAATTTCTCTTCACTCTCTGAATAATGTAAGCAATTATCTTGAATTTATTTGCAAAAATTCTAAGAGAAATCTCCGGATTTCTGTTTTAGGTACCTTTCACTTTTTTAACAAGATCTCGTTGACCAAAAACTTTTTTTCATCCACTAACTGATTTACTTTTGATTGTACCAGTGTCTTTAAATAGTTTTACATTGCTCCGCACTGTTCTCAATGCAAATATTTATTGCTACTTATCTTGATTTGATGACATTTTAATTAAAACCAATCGTTTTGAAATATATTTGCTAGAAGTGATGTGGTAAACACCACATCAGAACACGCGCAGATTTTCTCTGGTAATCGTTTTATTTTATCAAAATAAATCAAAAACTTCAAAAGCGGCCAGGGTTATATTGCTTGCTTTAAACTTTCGCGGTGTTCTGCTATCTACACCTTTTAAACTACTGTTTGTTTGGAAGCTTAGCAAAGTCAATTGGGTGCTTAGGGTGTTTAGGGTGCTTAGTTTTTAAATTGTATCTGGCAGTTGAGGTAGATGATGCATCTTTAGCAACATTTTTTTTACAAACCTTCTGTGGATAACAAAACTCAGAAGCAACTTTTTCTCAAAAGTAATTCCATAAGACATTTTTGGATTTTGGCATGATATTTGCTGTTTGCTATTTTAAATTTAAATTTTGAGACACAGCGCTAGTGTTTTTCTTAGTATTTTTTTGTATAAATCTATTAACTTTATTCTACACAATGACAGTAGTTTTATTAATGCAGACAGTCAGTGTAACTATTCATTGAAATATTAAGCAAAACGATTTAAACTATTTTAGTTTGGATTGCTTTTTTTTGATAATTTTTGAGAACGAAAAATAAAATTTATTGTTTATTTTTTGATAAATAAAATAAGTAGAAATCGCACAACAAATTTATTGAAATTTGTCGTATGATTTTTACTTATTTTGTTTGAGGTATTGTTTAAAATGAATATAAGACAGTGATGAACATTTCAATTATAAAAGTTAACAAATTAACTGTATAAAAGTTAACAAATTAAATGTATGTATTCAGTGGCGTAGGAAGGTCGCGAAAGTTGGTTATGTATGTATGTATGTATGTATGTATGTATGTATGTATGTATGTATGTATGTATGTATGTATGTATGTATGTATGTATGTATGTATGTATGTATGTATGTATGCAGGGCCGCCTAGAGGGGGGGAGGCCACCAGGACAGTTTGTCCCGGGCGGCAAATGTCCATGGGGCGCCAGATGCCGAAGTAAAATAAAATAGTTTTTTATTCTTAAAATTCTATAATTAAAATGTATATATTACTCGTGTTATATCATTGTTTTTTATTCCTCGAAAAGTTTTAAAAAAATACGAACTCATTATTGATTTCGTATTCTATACGCTATTAAATTAAAAATGTCCCTTGAGATTTTTGCATTCATCAGACTAAAGCAAAAAAAACGTTTTCAACGCCTGAATTTTTTTTAATTCAGGCGTTGAAAATGACCCAGCACTCTGGCCATCGATTCTTAAGCAAAGAAAAAAAGAAGAGTTAATCAAAAAAGGTCCGTCAACTTTACCTGATGATTTCCCATGAGATGCTTCTAATAACAGGGCCTTTCCAAAATAATTTTTTTTTATTGCATTGCCTAATGGAGAAAAAGTTCAACGAGATCTGATAAGGAGCCCACCGTCTAACTCTCTACTTTGTTTCCCGTGTTCTTTATTTGGGTGTGAAAATTCTGGATCCTATGGGGATCGATCTCTTCTTTTTCGCTATAATGGAGAAATAAAAAATGACTGGAGAAAATCGAGTGATCGTATCAAAAGTCATCATAGAACCCAGTTCATCAAAGTTGTTATCTTAATTGGAAGACTTTGCACTCAGTTCTTGTCGATCAGCGCGGGATCGACTCAGAGTTCCAAAAGGCACTAGAAAAGGAAGTAGCTAGATGGCGTGAAGTACTTCGTTGTATTTTAGATGCAATTTTATTTTTAACATCTCAAAACTTATCTTTTAGAGGTAAATATTCTAGGCCAGAACTCTAAATACTTAAGAATAAGTTCTTATTTTTAGTATTACAGAATTTCTATTATCTACATTTAAGTAACTTAGAAAACATTTTTTTAGGGCAAAATTCGTCGATGGAGAAGAACGAGAAAGGGAACTTTTTAAGTTGTCTTGAACTTATTTCTTGTCACAACGAAACATTAAAGAATCATCTTGAAACAGTTGCTCGTCATCAAAATAAAGGAACCAGAATGCAAGCTCACTATCTCTCATGACAATCACAAAACGAATTCATCAGTGAATGCGCTACATTAGTTCAAGCAGCAGTTGTGAAAGAAGTAAAAGATGCTGTATATTTTACGATAATTACCGATGGGACCCCAGATGTATCTCACACCGAACATTCTTATTCTTTGATTTGTGCGATTCAACTCGGGTAAGATAATTTGGGAAGTTAAAGAACGATTTCTCTGTGTTGAAAATATGGAGAAAAAAAAAGGAGCAGATATTGCTTATTTAATTTGCAACGTTTTAGCGAAAGTGAATCTCGATTTACAAAAATTGAGAGGCCAAAGATACGACAATTGTTCTAATATGGCTGGAATCTATAATGGAGCCCAAGCTCATAAACTGGAAAAAAATCCGTTCGCTTTATACATTCCTTGCGGTGCTCATAGTTTAAATTTAGCTGGAGTTCATGTTGCTGAGTCTTGCGCTGAGATAAAAACGTTTTTTGGCAATATCCAAGCCCTCTACGTGTTCTTTAGTTGCAGCCTAGCAAGATGGAAAATTCTTCACGAAGAGACTGCTTTATCACTTCACAATCTCTCAGATACTAGATGGTCAGCCCTCATAGCAGCTGTAAAACCTTTAGTGATAAAACCACGAGAAATGATTGCTGCTCTGGATAGAACCGTTAATCAACTTGACCTAACTGCGGACATGTTGAATCAAACGAAATCGTTGGGCAAATATTTTAAGTCATTTGAATCAGTAGTTATTCTGACCATTTGGTATAAGACACTGCAAAATATTGATAATGTTAGTCGATGTCTCCAGTCGGAGTCAACCACCATTGAAGAAGAAGTCATTCTCATTCAACTACTTCTAGATGACCTAGGTCGCATTCGTTCGTCGTGGAATTGTATTTTGACTGAAGCAAAGCTAGTGGCTGGAAAACTAGGCTTTGAAACAGAATTTAAAGTATAACGCACAAGAAGAGTGAAAAAATTCCACGAGGAACCATCAAATACAGCCCACTACCACGACAATACAGAAAAGAATTTTAAAGTAAATATTTTCAACGTGGCATTAGACCACATAATTATACAAATTCAGTCGAGGTTCAATGTGGTGAAAAAGGTTTCTTCTCAGTTTTCCTTTATCTGGCTTCAGTCTGAAGACCCTTCTTCACAAGATGACAAAGCTCGTCAACTTGCAAAATTCTTTTCAAATGACGTTAAAGAAGACGATCTTATTGAGGAAATTTGCCACTTTGACCGGTTGAAAGCATCGTCCTTATTCAGAAAGGCAACTCTCTCAATCTTTTAAATCAAATATATTCCAAAGGCTTACAACCAATTTTCCAGCCGATATGCATACTTTTGCGCATCTTCCACACAATGCCAGTATCCGTTGCAGAGGGTGAAAAATCTTTTAGTAAACTGAAGATTATAAAAAACCACTTCAGAGCCACCATGGGGCAAGAGCGACTTTCAAATCTTATGGCGTTGTCTATTGAAAATGATCTCAAAAAATTATTGTCATATGATGAAGTAATTTCTAATTTTGCCTCGAAAAAAGCTCAAAAATTGTATTTAAGTTAGGAATTGTTTATGAAGCGGTTAGTTAGCAAAAAATGAAATAAAAAAAAAGTTAAAATAGCTATAAAGGCATACTGTATTGTTTTCCTTCTATGCCAAGTATATGTATATATATATGTATATATATATATATATATATATATATATATATATATATATATATATATATATATATATATATATATATATATATATATATATATATATATATATATATATATATATATATATATATATATATATATATATATATATATATATATATATATATATGAGCCGTGGCGCAGTGGTTAGAGCATTGGACTCGTGACTCAAGGGTTGCGGGTTCAATCCCAGCTCGAAGTAATAAACGTTATCGGTGAAGTTGGAAACGGAGAGCCAACTTAATAAATGCTGTTCTCCTTGTGGCGGTGCTCTGTGACAAGACCATTAGGACTTCTTAGAGCACCATATTAACTGAAAAAAAAAAAGAAAAAAAGCGAAATCCATTAGGGCCCAAAAAAAGTTGTTGTTCCGTGCGGCTTGAAGGCTCTCGGCGGCCCTGTATGTATGCATGTATGTATGTATGTATGTATGTATGTATGTATGTATGTATGTATGTATGTATGTATGTATGTATGTATGTATGTATGTATGTATGTATGTATGTATGTATATATGTATGTATGTTATATTTTTTCACTCATTTCAATCATTTTTTCTTATTTTTTGTCACTTAACTATTTTAATTAAATAGCGTATTACCAAATTAGCGCACGATGTATTTAGTAAGTCTAAAAAATGTCTTGTGACGCGACGTGTTTTAGACGTTACGTGACGTTTAAAACGCGCCACATTACAAATTCCAGTTGACGTCAAAAACACAAGATGTGTTTTAGACTTCACGTAACGTTTGAAACACAGGATGTGTTTTAGACGTCTTGTGACGTGTAAAACATATTTAATGTTTATTGGGTAACTGGGTAAATTTTATTCAAAGTTATTACTATAACAAAGAACAACTCTATTCACTAATAATCACATAAATAAACATTCATTTGAAAGTACAATAGAAAACTCATGATTTTTACAGATATAATATGGATTCATAAATAAGTTTTGTTGATTTTTTTAAAAAACTGGTATAAAATTCAAGCTTAAGAGAAAAAAAAAAGTTCAGAAAGCTGGAAATTTAGTGCTTGAAATAAGTTTATGAAAGAACTGATTTCTTTAATCCCAAGAAAAAAAAATTTAAAAGCATATATATTAGGTTTTAGTACACAAACATACAACTACTGAAAGAAATACTATGCAAATAACATTATATTTGTAATGTTTTTATTAGTGTTATATGAAATGCATTGAAGATCTTTATTCGCAAAATGTGTTTTAAATAATTTTGATCATTAATACCATTGCTAAATGCACTCCACACTCCAGAGTTTACACGGAAGACTTTCTTTCTTCTTTGAAACTAAACGCGTAGAAATATAAGGATTTTGTTTCAAACTCATACTACCTCCAAGTATAAAGTTTTTGATTTTCAGATGGTCGTGCAATCCAGGAGGAATCTCTGGCTTACAATTCTTTTTGGACATTACAAACTCCAGGAGCACAAGAATTATGATCCAACGGTACATTTTTTTGTTACTCTTTTTTGGTGTTTTACTGCGCACCAAAATCTGATGATTATAATTTTATTTTATTCAAACGTTGTCTTCTACCAAACTATGGCGCAGCCAAAAAGGTCGCACCCCTTCTTCACGCCTCCTACGCAAAGTTTATAGTATTCTGTAATTTTCTACTTAAATGGTAATTATTTTAAGGTGTTGGCTATAAATGCGTTAGCAAAAAAAGGCGTTCATAGAAAAAAGCTGGCAATAAAAACTCCAAACTAATTTTCAAGCTTAATGCGCATTATAAATTTTATATATAAAATTTTTTCTTTATAGTTTCTAAAATTTAAGAAATAAGTTTATTTTTAGAAGGAGGAGTTTCAAGCATAACAAGATGGAGTTTAGAATATAAAGCCGATAAAAATCTATTGCACATCTTTAAAACTTTAGAAGTTAACAAGAAACATTTTATGTAATAAGTTTTAAAAAATTTTTGAATCTAAATATTTTTAAAAAGAAAAATTTAGAGTATTTTTAACCCAAAAAAAATGGCGAAATTTTTTAAAATTTACTTGTAACTGTTCAAAGTTCATAAAAGTAAGTTATTGTTTATTTTGCCATCATCAAAATGATTGGTTGAAATTAATGAAAATGAAAATTAAAAAACAAAAACAAAAAAACAACGATTAAAATTGAAACTACAATTGAACTTAAAGATTTGCAATCTGGATTATTTATATCTACGATCTATATAATTGCTGAAAAGATAATTTGTTTTAAATAAATCCTAATCGTTATTAAGATATTTTAACGAAGGGATTTTGTCTGATTACATGTATAAGTAAATAAAATAAATCATTTAATCGATTAAATAAGTTTTAAATTTCAATAAATAGATATTTAAATAAAAGTTTAAAAAATGAAAAAAAATATATATTTCTTTGTAAAAAAAACGTTTACTAACATTATATTTGTAAAGATATAATGTGTTCATGTGTGCGTGTACGAGCAAAGTATATAAGGACGTGCCGAGTTCAATATTAATAAAACGCCACCTTCTTTAGAGAGAGAGAGTGGGTGTCATGAAAAGGTGATGAATTATGACGTTGGTAAGTGGGTTTACTTGAAAGTAATTTAGTTACCAAGTGTTAAGGTGGCACTAAATTATAAACACCGGAAGTTTTTTCTAACCGCTCGAACCAACCATGTGACACCTTGAATCATCCACGTTACATGTAACATGGATGATTTAAGCTCAACTTAAATCAGCTTGCACTAATTAAATAAGGATAAATATTTACCTTATAAAACCAATATAAATTTTTTAAATTTTCTTATCAAAGAAGCTATGGTATTTGGCAATCCTCAAAAATATTTTGTCAAAAAATGTTCGACAGATTGATACTATTTGTTCTTTAAATACTATAAGTCATAAATTTAAATAGCATTTGTCGAAATTGGTTTTAATAAAACTGGTTGAGTCAGGTTGGTGCTTAGATTTCATAGCGTAAAGTTATTTGGGTAATGTTTACTTTTTTTTCACAAATAATTATAGGCAAACTCAGTTTTAATATAAAATATTTACGAATTAAAATTTGTATTTTAGCAACTATTTAATATAATTTGGCAAAAATATTTCCTATCGAATATGTTTTAACTATTAAAAAAATATTGAATATATTGTTTAAATTATTTTTAAGTTTTTTTAACATTACTGAAAATTTGATCTGATGATTTGTATTGACTTTTACTAATAAAAGATGAAAATAAAATTTAAAAACCTTTAATGTATTATCTGATCAAAGTTATTTTATTTTTTAAAATAGACCAATGACATTTAGGGGCGGGCGTAAGATATTTTTAGATGTTTTAGTAATGACACTTTCAGGTATTGTAAAAACTTCAAATTTTTGTTGGTTTATGTTTTGTTTGGTTTATAACTTATGTTAGTTTATGTTCATTATGTTTGTTTATGTTCTTTATGTTTGTTTATGTTCATTATCAATAAATTATTAAATCAAAATATTCAAGTCAATGTCAAAAAAAAAATTGTTTTTCAAAAAATTTATGTAATAATAAACTAAAAATAAAAATACTACAAAAGCTTTGCAGCCCCCCAACACCAAATGGCGGGTATAATGAGTTTATAAAATATTTTAAACTAATATCATACTTCATTTAAATTCATCGGACATGTTTTAAATATTATCTTTAAGCTTTTAAAGGTTATGACTATGTTAATTTATGCTCCCTCCCCAAAATGTTTTGAATTTTTCATAGTCATAACTTTTTGAAGGTTATGACTGTGTGAATTTCGCACACCCCCTCTTCCCCCCTCCTTAAATGTTTTAACTTTTGTTCTCGTTATAACTTTTTATAACTAAAAGATTATTAAAATGATATTTGAAACCTGTTGATAAATATAGGGTATTAAATTAAAATATTTTATAAACTCATTGGCTTCACATTTGGGTTCATTGACTTCACATTTGGGTTTGAGAATTCTTATTTGGTAAACCTAAATAAATTTGGAGTTTTAACAATGGCTGAAAAAGTCATTACTAAAACATCTAAAAATATCTTGCGTCGGTCACTGATTGAAAATTTACATTCCGTTAGTTTAAAACGTGTAAACTGTATATCATATTAAAAAATATCTCGCAGAAAGATAAAGTTTCAAAAAAAAAGCTTTTAATCTATTTATCGTTTACGAAATTGTTTTTTATATTTACGTAGCCAATCAATTAATTTACATTTCTTGTGTTTATATTTTATATGAACTTAAAAGTTTCGTTTTTCTTTATACGGTGTCTATTAAATTTACTATTTATTATAAATTCATCTTAGCATATCGTGTGCGTCATCTTTTTTAATCGTAAAAATTTTTTTTTTTGAAAATGCGAATTTCTATTTTGTTTTAACTTAATTGTGATTTTTAACATTTATTTTATCGCAAAAGTAAATAGAAAAGTTCATTTAAATGCAGAGTAACTTATTTTGTATAAGCGTTTTAAGATAAATAAATTATGTTTTATACTTTTTTTTATTGAATCTATTTGATATGCTAAATATGCCCATTGCGTTAAAAATAGACTAAATTTTTTTTTCGGACTAAATTTTAGTCGCGCTAACCCGACGGGCATTTGCTTTTAAAAGTTACGTTTTAAGTGTCTTTTAAACGCCTTCAAAACATTCTAAAAAAAAAGTAACGTTTAGAAGACGTTTAAAAAACGTTTAAAAGACACGTAGGGAAATTTTATTTTAATCTTAGTTTAACACTAGTTTAACAGTTTTAGTCATTTTGTCAATAAAGTAAGATAATTATTCCTTACTTTATCATTAAAATAAAGTTTGGATTTAAAAATGTTTTATAAATGAAATTCTTCACAGCGAACCACAATAACCGCAAGGTTTGATGTCTCCCCACATCCAATTTTTTTTCTTATTAAGAAGTAACATAGTAAATAAATTAGGTAAAGGTATTAAGAACCTCCATAGGAATGGCTAGAATAAAATTTTTACACATCTAAACTTTAGATAAAAAGAGGAGGGGCGGTACATGGTTAACTTTATCAAAGTTCATATATTTCACATAATTTTATGAAGAAACCTAATTTTTACAATGTTCTTGTGTACTCCCATATTATAAAAGCATTAAAAAGTGTTCGGAAATAAAAAAAAAAATTAGGTATAAAAACATCAACAACAACATGATGCAATAAGCATTTATGGTAGAGAATATCTAGACTATGCTTTAAAATACAAAAATAGGGTTATATTTTATATTTGATTAAAATCTTTTATAATTTTGACACAGTTGTGGGTCAACAATATATTAATTTCAATAGTAAACTTGTTAACTATTTATTAAATGTTGAAAATTCTACAGCACTTGACTTCAATCGTTTAGCATAGTATGGGTGGCTTTGTTGTTTCTTATACTTAATCCATGTCTTTTTTAAACTCATGATGAACAGATTCACCTGCTTGTTCAGAGTAAATTCCAAGTCCATTATCAGTATTGGTACTTTTTAGAAATGGTACAATATGGTTAACTGCAATATGAATTTTCCACGGTATATTCAAAGAAATATTATTAATGTAAGTATTAATATATTCCATTAAATTAGCATAAGACATCTTGAATTCGAAAACTACAGTTTTAATATCACCAATAATTTTTTTCTCTAAAGGTAGCTTGCTTCATTGCTTGAAACTTTCTCAAACATTCAATTACTGGCAATAATTCAAGCTTTCCTTGATCAGCAATATAACGAGCAAGAACATCTAACTTATCTAAAAATTTGTTGGCATTGTTGCCATCAAGTTTAATGCCATGGTAAACTCTGAAAAATATGTAATTTAAGTTTAAGCACTTTTCAAAGCCAGGCCATAGTTTTGATAATAGTTTTCTAAAAGTTGTAACTATTCCGATTAATGTATGTAACTCACCCGGTGGAAAATGAGCTAGCGACTAGCGAACGACTAGCTAGTTTTATAGCGAATTTCAAGCGATTTTTTTTTCTTACTTTATTCTTTACTAATGTCTCTAACATCTTTAAAAATTCGATTTTTAGTGTTGAGTCTATTATAATTATGAGAATAATTGAACTTTAAACATTGCGATTTTGTAGCAATATTTCGCTAGCTACATATCGTAGCTTTGTAGCTAGCTACAAAATATCTACAAATCTATAGCGGGTTGATAGCTACATACCAAAATTTTTTTACATACCAAAATTTTTTTGATAGCGATCTTATTACGATATGACGGTAGCTACAATAGCCTGCGAGTCTTTAGTCTATTAAGCTAGCTGTCCTCGTAGCCAAATTACTATCTTTATCTTTACAAATATCGATAGCTTTTCGCTAACTTAAAAAGTTAGCGAAAAGCATCCTCGTGGCCAAATCGCTGTCTTTATCGTAACTATTATAGCTAGCTATTCGCCAGCCGATTTCCCACCGAGCAGGTACTGGAACTAAATTTTCTATAATTGTGTCTGGATCCTTTCCAAGATATAATAGTCTTGGATTAATAACATTTTTATAATCAGCCATCTTTGATTGTGGTTTTCCAGCTTCTGTGTATTTAGTGTAATGATAATCGAGGGAACGAAGAGTTCGTTTTTCTCCACCATCCAAAAGACTTTCTCC